ACTTGTTGTCAATTGAACACTCTAAACAGGCATATTCAGGCAAAGGCTTTCTATTGATTTCTATTGACTAATGGAACTATGTATGTGAACGCCTGAGGCTATACATGGAAATTGAATTTGCCTCATTTGTCTCTCTGTCTCCTTGTTCAGGAGCGTCAACGTGCTTTGGAAATTCAGGAAGCAATGGCTCAACGTCGAAAGGATGCCGCCGAGGATCGCCTGCTTCGCGAACGACTCCGGCAACAGATCGAGGACGATCGTCGAGCCAAAGAGGAACGTGCACGTATGATGAATCCTCAAAATGAGGCCAGTCCAGCCCAACCGGTTGGCGCTCCACTGATGACAGCCGCCCAGATGATGACCACGAATTCGACCAATTGTGATCAGGTTGGTTTTTCCTCGTCTCTCTCTATCTCTCTCTCTCTCTCTCTTTCTCTTTCTGTGTGTGCGCGCACGTGCATGGGTGCGTCAGTTTGATTACCTTTATTCATTCATCTCACCATGACAACTTGTTACCAAAAGCACTCAAGGGCACTACGGAGGTCGTACATTTGTATTTCTGTTCTTGCCAAGAGTGATTATCATCAGTGTCACCACCAGTTTTCATTTTCAGTTTATACAACCGTGAGTCATGTACTCTAACGCAGCGCTTTTGGTTGCTTTCCGTTGGCTGCTATTTTGGATGAAAGAGTAGAGGGGGGGGGACGGGAGAGTTGAAACCGATTTCATTTTGAAAATAGAAAATTCCGTTGGACTAAGGTTGCAATAACAAAGAGAATATGCACGAGCACCACGTTTTGCAACAGTCCACCAAATCAATCAGTGCGTCTAGCCATCGATTTCACCAATCCCAAGGTCCCTCCCATCCTTGAAGCCTAATGTAATCTATGTGAGCCATTCTCCGGGTCAAGGTCTTTCTGCCATCCTATCAGGTGTTAGTTTGACCACCCTGTTTCCGTGTAGGCGTCAAGTCTCCGCACGTCCGCAGCAAGCAAATTTATCGAGCGTGTCAGCTCAACCTCCGGCGTTCGGGGTCACACTAGTCCCATACGCGTTATCACGACGCTAAAGGGGTTGGCTTCAACAGCGGTTTTGGTCATAACAGTATTTTGTATTAGTAGCTTCCATGCGTCTCTAACACGAGGTATAATGTATGTGATTCTCATTTTGTCATTTGCTTGTCATATTACTGGATTTGTTAATTGGGCGGTGTTGGCGCAGTTGGCTAGTCGCTGTCACCGGCGTGCTTTGAACCCTGTGGTCCGAGGTCCGAGCCCCGCCACCGCCACCGCCTCCCAGCTGTGGTGGTAGCCAGCTTTGCTGTCGCCCGGTTCATGCCTGACCTAGCGGGGCCTTATGTAATTCGCCACTCCAAGTCCCGCTGGGATTAGGTTACTGTTTTCCATCACTGAACGTCAGGTCTTCATGACTGTGAGGTCGGCCCCATGTGCTGTACATAACACCCTGGTGTGTTATAAAAAATCGTTGTATATATATATATATAATACCTACATGAAGGTTATGAGTCATTTTTATAGATAAATTCTAATTGTTTTTTTACTGAGGGTTTCGTTATTTTACAACTAACGCGCCGGCAAACGTCGTCGAACTCGAGAAATTGTACACTTTGTTAGCATTCGGCTACTAGAAGCAGAAATATCAGTGAATATTAGTGCAGATATGTTGCTTCTGACCTGGGGTAATATCGTATTCAATCCCGTGACTGAGGCTACAAACTCTAAACGTTGCGAAGAATAAATGTGACTAAAATCTAGGTGTTGCACGAGTTTCATCAGTACTTGTTTGTATATCTGTGAAACGCGCTGTAGTCCGTCTGGATACACTGGTTTGAAGCAGTCCATTTTTTCGAAAACATATCATAAGGCAATATTCGGTGATAGACCAGCATACACCGCATAAATCTACGTAATCTCCACCAGGGTTTCCCAATACATCCATTTGTCCTCTCACGTAACGGTTTCTCAACGAGATGCAGTTATCCCAAGTGTCGACAGTGGGGCATCTTTTGAATTCTTGCCAGAAGGAATTTCTTTATGACATCCATTTCTTTGTTCAGCTGCGAGTAGGTGATGATTACGTATGTGATTTACCGACCGGCTTGGTCCTTCTAAGCGCTTGGAGGGTCGTCAACTTACCGCGGTCCGACCGTATTCCCGCCAGCTCCGCAACGTCCTCCAACTCCTCCAGGGAAGTCCGCCAGTCTCCATCCTCGAAGGTATCAGGCCAAGGGACCTTCATCCTGATCCTGGCGACGGCACCAGTTGTTATAATTCTATGAGGCTGTGCTGGTCGAGGATAACTGTTTATTGAAGACTTCAGATGGGATATCACCAATTTGCCATACATAACACAAAACATCTCATCAGAAACATACCATCGCCGTCCCTGGAAGCACACCGAATGATGCACAGGGCAGTCGGTCGTTATTATTTGAGACATCACTTGGCCCTCGGTGGTTTTATCATATTTTTAATCATCGAAAGTTACCTACGATTCACAAGTGAGTAGAATCTCACAACACTAGGATCCTGAATTCGTATCTCGGACACTAAACAGATATCAATTTCCAATGAATTCATTGTACACGCACAACACACTTGTTGATCTA